TACAATCTGGTGTAACATATTCACTGGGAATAGATTTTGTTTCATTTTCATATTTGTCAAACATTGCATGGATATATTTACTGTTTATTTGTTATATTTCGATAAAATTATGAACGTACTTTAAGCTTGTAAGTTGACAGTATGACAGAAGTTAAAATTTGTTACCATGAAGTAATTAATTGATCAATCTGACAATTATTATGATCCTAGTTTGGGCTTTATTTATTTATTTTAAATATGTGTTCAATTATTTTTTACTTTATTTTATTTTATTATTTTAAGCATTTTGGTAATCATGAAAGCCCACAAGTGGCGACAGTTAAAGTAATACAAAATAAGATGTACAATGTACATAATAATGATAACAATAATTATAAAATAATAAAAATATATAGTGAAAATAAAATTATATATCTAAAATAAAATTGAATTCATGTCTTACAATACATCAAATTTTAAACAGATTGTTGAATGATTTAACAATAATTTTGAAATTTATCAAAAAATACATGGCTTTAGGAAATTCATTACATATCTAATTTATAAAAAATTTTCACTTTGTCTTTTTAAAACCTGTGGCCATGTGAAAACTTTTTTTCATTTTTATTTTATCTGTATGCTTATTCAGTTTGTTGATAGTTTCTGGAATTAATTATTACTAATCAACAGCCATTAAACATTTTATAACTAATAGTACATTTGAAATTATATTATAATTAATAATTATATTATTACAAAAGTAAGTTTTCCTTTTCTGAAAAAACAAGTATTCCTGCAATGCTAATTTGACAGAATAAAATGCATGAAATTAAAATGAATGTTCCTAAGATTGTCTATTTCAACTGAGAAATTTGGGCTCCTCACTGAGAATGAAAATTTATTAGAATTTTTGTTAATTTGACTCAGACTGGAAACACAATCTGGATAGTTTTAAGAATTTTCTACCATAGATACAGCACTTCAACTGTCAATTTGCCAGTCTCTGGTGATGAATTACTTTCAAATTTTGATACATGAGATTTTGCTCCCAAAAAATTTAAAAGATGAATAAATAGCGAGACAATCACTTCACTTCCTAACAGTCAGAAAAATCAACTGAACATCAGAAAACATCCGTACAGCTGCTTGAATGTAACGGCTTTAAGGGACGACGTCAAAAGATCGATGTCGGATAAAAAACTTATTTCCTTTAGTTTGGGAGTGGGGGGTTTTGACCTCAAAAAGTTTCCATCCGACAAAAACCATTTTATTTTTTAATGAAGTCAAAGTCATCTTGGAGTATTTGTAGTTTGTTTGTTTT